GATACGATATCCGCCATGTTTGTTCAAACATCCTTAGTGACTGAAACTGTTTTTTGACCTGATAGGTCAAGTCGCTAATTAACCAATCGAAACGCTGGATGGTGCCAACGTGATTAAATTACTATAGCTCATTTAAATATGTTAATGTAGTTCAGGACCTCATGGTAAACGAAACACAGAAGAGATTTACCGTTGTTGTAGTGCGATCGTTTGGCTTTGATTTTGATGGGAAAATGGCATGATTTTTTTTTAAATCAAAAAATTAGTTGTTTTCGAAAGATAAGCTGAGCATTGAAGACGAATTTAACACTTTTGACGATAATAACAGCTCATTGTCAAAACGCAGTTTACCCATTCACGCTACCCACAATAAATCTGTACTCTGGAATAAGCGTCAATGACTACGGAAAACCAAAATTAGACTCTAATCTAAGCGTCAGGAATCATTGAAATGTTCGAAAAATTATGCCTTAATTTAAAAATTAAATGGTATATCTTTTTCTGAAATATGTGGTGGCTGTTTGGTTTGTGAAAGTTTGGGGTGCGGCTTATATTGCAGGCTTTTTTCTGGGATCAAAACTTTCAAAACAATTTCAACATGAAACAATGTCTCAAGTTAGGGGTGTGGCTTCTATTAAAGCTGCGGCCTCAAATATGATTTTTACGGTACATCTTTTTTGGTTAAATTAAAATTGAAAAAAGTCCACAACACTTTTACAATGACGAAACAGAAATTATCACACAAATTACACACATTTGATCAGAATGTTATTTACATACGGTCAGACATTATGGTTTTAAATTATTGATTGTATGCAAACCACCAATATTGTCTGATGTACTTGATCAGTCGAGGCATGTTGAAAATATGGAGCTAGAGTTGCATACTTTGAAAAAAATTTGGCGTGCAATTTTCAGCTGTCAAGTTCCATGTCATGTGTAGACAAGTTTCATGTAACAGGGGCTAAAAAAAACAGTGGTGTTTGATATCAACACTGACTACATTATTATTTATTACATTTAATGAAAACAATTACCTCTATTTGCTGAACCGCCAGATCCAGAAAGGTCAGTTCACTCCGAACACCGATGACACTTTTCGGTCCTTTACATCCCATGCTGGTGCCCAAGCCACCATTTAATTTAATAACAACAAGTTTATCTAACAATGCCTTAATATTCTCTGTGTCATGTTCTTGAAGCTCCTTGTAAGGGATCACCTAGGAAAAATAAAATTGAACAAATTTGAACTTCACTTAAAGCCCATCCATGCTTGCCTTTGGGTTTAAATGATTGACAATAACTTTAGGGAAATTTCATTAATATAATTGTGAAATGAAACAGAAATGTGCACATTTGCTGCATGATATATTGAAATTTTAATGCAATCAATGCAAACAAGTCTGTGATACAGAATATTAATCAGATTCCGTTAATTTTTTGTCACCTTCCACAAACAATTCTTGATCAAAATGCTGAGGCAAACAATTGTTTCATTGAAGTAGTTAGCAGTAAATTTTATTAAAATATTTAAACTATGTGATTTGCTTTGTAACGCATTTTTATATGGCCTTCAATGCATGAAGTATATACTAAATTCAATCACAGTACAGTGATGATGGGATCCAATCATCAAATTCAGTGTTGCTGCGAACGGTTTAAAAACTATTAACCAATTCAATGTGTAGCCTGAAACTTTGTTTCAAAATTAACTCAAAATTCAATGAAAATTATAAGAAAATTTGTATTTTTGGTGACAAAACGAACATGATCGCCTGACAGATAATACTTACGGCATCTTGAGGTAAAGGTTGTATTTCGTCCCATTCTACAGATGGTCCTTTTTCTTGTAAAAATCGGCTGAACAAATCTTTAAATCCTTCAAAGTTTTTAGTTGCTTTCTGTTGAAATACCACAGTAACAAGGGTCAATAGAAGCATGATAAATGGTCAAGAATTGTGCATCCTGACTCAAAAAGTCACTTTT